TGTCAGTACTTTCAAAGTAAGTACTTTGGTTTATGGGCTTCAGAGGTGGAAAAGACCTATTCCATCTTCCTGCCAATGTTGGACAGTTCCCTGTGGTAAATGTCAGTGTTTTGAAAAACGGTGACCCCAACAGTGTGCTGCTGGCGAGTGCACTGTTCATACATCCTTAGGACTGGCTCTGGAAGAGATTGAGATAGCCAAGTAATAACTTCGTGACGGCCGAGAGGACATCGATCCCACGCCGTCTGGACCCTAGGCAAATCGATCCAAGATACTTCGACTTCAGCTACGCGAAGTTGCGTATCTTGGATCGATTTGCCCCCCACCCCCCCACAGTGTAGACCAGCCCTAAGGGTAAAGCTCTTTTATGCGAGAGACGGAGCTTCTCTTGGGTGTCAGCCCAAGACTGTGAAATGAACTCCCTCAGGAGCTGAGTGCAAGGTGCATTTCTTTGCCCTCATCTATTCTAACATAAATGTATAACTGTGTGTGTGTGTGTGCTCGCACGCGCGTTTAAAAAAAAATAGAAGCAAAACACTCCCCTGCACACACTTCTTCCCTTGGGCACGTTAGTTCCGTTTCTTCATGTACTACTAAAAAGGTGCTAAGATAGACAATGTATGAATGCAGTATAAGAACCGACGTAGAATGGAAAAGAAAAAGACCTATTGGAGTGAGGACTAGTCTCCCAAGAGAAGTGGTGGAGGCCGTGATACTTCGGCCATTTAAAATTTGACAACCACTAGCAAAGTGTGTGGAGAGATAATCTGTCTCTGGCTGAGGGGGATGGAACTGATGCCTCTAACGGAGATTAGAGCTGGCAAACCTTAGGGGAAAAACAAACTCAAACCACTTCCATAAAACAAACAAATCAACCAACCAACCAAAGAGGGAAACCAGAAATCCCCAAGAACCCCAAAAAGAAAACAACCAAACCCCCAAACAAATCCCAAATCAAAACCAGAACACCCCCCCCCCACTCCTTCCCCCCATCTCCCCTTTCAAACTCCCACTCAAACGCCCTTGTTTGTTTACACCTGTGTTCGTTGGCTCCTGTGCTGCTGCACCTCTGCCTCTGGCTGACTGTTTGGCTGCTTTTATAGGCCCCCTCATCAGGGAAGCCCCACCCCCTTATCAGGGCTCTGCTTTGCTCACAGCACACTGCCCCCTACCAGCCTCTACAAACTGAACAAGGAAAAAAAAACTTGCACAAAACAGAAAAAACACACCATACCCACAAAAAACCTCACTTACTGCCCCTACGAACCAGGGGCTTGCCTCTTCCCTGCTCCGCTAATAGAAGTCCCACTCAAACTCCCCTGTTTACAGCTCTGTTTACTGGCTCCTGTGCATCCATCAAGTCTTGCTTTCCTCATGCAAGGAGGGGGACCATACTGTTTTGCATATGTGGAGTGGAATACAGTTCATAGATTGTTTCCAGAAGGAATCACAATGAGCTAGTCTAACCTACTGCACTACACAGACATAGAACTTTGCTCAGTAACTTCCTGAGGGTTCAAAATTCTTCCCTACTCCATGAGTGAATGAGTTCCTTAACTCTCTTAGCAGGCATTGTTGTAGACCTACTGTTGGGAACTTGGTGAGAGATGAGTACATCATGGAGACATATACATACAAGCTGTTTGTTTACCACCATTGGCATAATTTAATTTTCTTTTCTTCTCTTTAAGTTGGTAGTAGCAATGGAAGAGCTGAAACAATGTCGACTACAACAGAGAAATATTTCTGCTACCGTCGATAAACTAACACTGTGTCTTCCTGGTGAGGAATCTGAAATTGATCATTGCTACTGGTACAGTTTCATCTAGATTTAATTTCATATATTTTGTCTTAATGTATGTATGTTTTTTTTCTTTTCTCCCCAGTTCTGGAGATGTACAGCAAACTGAGAGAGCAAATGACATCTAAAAGGTAAATTTTACAGATTGATGCATGTTGAAGAATCACAAAGCACCCATCTGGAGGCCTAAGTTAAACTCAACAAAGGAAGATATTCTCAGGAGTTGAGAGATCTATACTGCAGTTTGCTCAGCTTCGAAACTATCTAATTTCTCATTAGTAGCTCTCAAACCACTCTTCCGCTCACCCTCTCTTCAGTCTAATCCAAATGCAGGTGCAGATTAGAATAGTCGTTGTAACAATGTATAATCTTTCCTCATATACCAGGTTTTTCTAGTGAATAGGTTCATACTTACACTTACATTTTTATTTAAATATTTCAATTTGACTGACCACCCCCCCCCCCCCAATCCTAGGCTCACCAGTCAGTTACATAAAAAATCATTGAACTAGCACTTACTCCAAACTAGAAATAGCTAACCAGACATGAAACACCTTTACCCAACAAATACTATCAGCCCCTGTGCTTCTGCATCCCCAAAGCCTTGGGTAAATTGATACGCTTGCTCCTGAAAGTCAGACTAGAGGGGGGAAGTTAGAGCGTTATTTAGCTGTTCAAGAAGGGGTTTCCCTCATTAGTATGTCTGAGCATGGTGTAAGGTAGCCTACTAGTCTACTAGTTTTTGACTATGTGTATAGCATCGGTGAGGGGCTTATCTGTTGACCGATGAGATGTTCATTAAAATGTTAATTGTAGCTGGGATTCGTAGCGATTGGTGGTGTGTTTGTGGGGGGAGCTGGATCTGATCACAGTGGCGTGAACTGAAAGGAATTCATATGCCATATGATTCCCTCATTCTAGATAGTGTTTCCATGAACTGATTCTGGGAACCACTTCAATTTTTCTTTTGATTGATTCATTTTGACTTGTATAGAAATTATTATTGAGGGGCATATTTAAGTAAAATCTGAACACTTAGTTTTTGTCTGGATTTGATGGCTCCATTTACTAAAGCAGCAAAACAAATTAAAGCCTTTTTGCATCTGTCTCCTCTTGATAGCTCATAGGGGATGGGTTGGTAGTCTGAGCTTCAGGTTTGAATACCCTGTCTCAGTTGGTTCACTGTGCGTGATGTGCTGGAGAGGATTGACTGTACAACCCAGAGTACAGGAGAGATTGAGACCCAACACTTCCTTCTCCAAAATCCAAGGAAGTGAGAGAGATTTCCTCAGATGATCAGGACTCATTAGTCTCATAAAGTGATGAGGAAAAACTGTGCCTAGCCTGGGAGAAAAAGAGAGATGGCGGAGATATTGCTCGATATACGAACCTGTCACTGCATTAGGATTGAACACTGCTGACAAATAAACTCTTGACAAACCCCCAAAACAGTGTGCGGATCTAACGGGATTTTTCCAACCACTGGCTGACAGCTGAGGGATGTCCTCTTTGGTAACACTTGCATAGCTTTTTATGCCAATAAAGCCCCCCTAAATTGTACGTGGCCACTTAGACAAGACAGTAAGGTATGAGATCCTTTCTGCTCTGGGTTTGTACATGAAAGATTACCAGGGCAATATTCATAAGAGTAGGCCCCAGATATTCTTGGCCAAAAATGCCTTCTTGCCCATCTGTGTACCCGGCTGCCATCCTTTCACCCCAAAAGCATTTGCGTTTCATTGGTGAAATGATCCCTCTGTGCGCGTAGCTTGTTAAGCACTTTGGGATCATTTGGGGTGAAAGATAACCTAATGTAAGATGTTAGATTCAAAAATATCAGATTTCTGTAGTGGGTTGAGGCGCCGCTGTTCTTGTCTGAGAGAGCAGAACGCAGTTGGACGCCTTGCTTGTGCTAAGAACTCACCAGGCACTGTGGGGCTAAAGCTGCATTACTTCATTAATAAAAATCACTGGCCTCTGCACTTACTCCCTGCTCCAGATACTTTAGACTTTGTTTTCGGCAGGCAGTCGTAGACCTCATCAGTGAACACACACTGTTCCTGCAGGCCACATTTTAGCATCTTCTACTTCAATAAACAATATCCTAAAATATAACAAAACCCCAATGTGTGTTTATTCCTCCAGTTTAAGCTCTGGCTTTCTGTCCACTCTTAAGTTTCTCTCTCCAGAGGGGATTACATTTTATTGCAAATAGCTTTTTGTACCCCGCTGTAATATAAATAGTGCCCCATGTTACAAGATTAAACTATGTGACTTCTGCTGCTCTTAATGGTCCTTTCAATTTTTAGTTAAAATAATTTCCCCTGACTTGACTGTATGTTTACGTAACAATTGTTTTGAAAAGAGATTTGAGTGTTATTTTTTAAAGTGATATGGTAGTGCATATCTTATGCCTACACACGTATTTTGCTTGAGTTGGGTTTTTTTACTCACATTCTCCTGGCCAAATTTAATCTCTGCTGTGTTCCTACTTAAATTTTCACCTCCACAGCTTTTCCCTTTGGACGTGGTATTCTATATTACGTCTCCAAAACTGTGTCCTGTTATGGTTGCCTTATTTCACTCTAGAGACATGTTTGTGCTGATCAAAATAAATTGTCAGAGATATCGCTAACAGCTCCATAGTTAAGGTTTACGTGCTGGGACTGGATGGATCAGTCAATAAATTGCTGTGGTCTGTTCATTCCCTCTGAAGCATCTGGCGTCAGTCACTGTTGGAGGCAGGATACTGGGCTAGATGGGCCAATGTTCTGATGGTTTTCCCTTCATCAGATCTATTTTATGTTCACAATTAGCTAGCGTAGCTTAGTCCTTTTGGATGGAAGGTGAGTGCTACGTAAATGTGAGTTTACGCTCAAATATGAAGTACAAAGGAATAGAAGTAACAGCATCAGAGCAAAATTCTTTGGGCCAACGATAGCCATTGTATCCTGAGCGGCACCTAGACTGGATTCTCACCGGAGCCTCTGGGCACCATAGTGAAATAAATAAATGAAGAAGCTGGATACGAATAACCGTTTGCATTCCTACGGTGCCTTTTAGCCAAGGATTTCAAAGTGCGTTTCAAACACTGTGTCTTACGGCACCCCTGTGAGGTAGGGAAGGGATATATAGGAATTACTTGATCCGCCACGTAAATGCAGCCGCTTCTAGGGTGGGAGGCTTTTAACAGTGCTCGGCAATATTGAAAGAATTAGACAGGTAGCCAGATCCAACTCTCAATATGCACAAGACAGACATCTCTTTAGTAAAGCAGAGCCATTTTTACACAATCACTTCTCAGAGTATGTCCACACTTTAACTTTGCTAAACCTCAGTTTATCTATCTGCAAATGTGAGAATAATTCCCCCTATATTGTACATGAGCATTGAGGTGCGTGTACTTCTGTACAGTGTTTTGAGATCCGGGGGTATATAGAAGTGCTAATTTATTGCCATCATCCTCTGATGTCAAGTGGAACAGCAGAATAGTCTTGTATACTTCTGAATCTGATTTACACTCTTCCCAGACATTACCCTGCGTTGAAGACATTAGAGCACCTTGAGCATACGTACCTGCCACAGGTGAGCCACTACCGCTTCTGCAAGATCATGGTGGATAATATCCCTAAACTGCGTGAAGAGATAAAAGACGTTTCCATGTCAGACCTCAAAGACTTCCTGGAGAGTATTCGTAAGCACTCTGACAAGATTGGAGAGACGGCAATGAAACAGGTAGGGTCTTGTGTTGCATTCTACTGATGAGCTTAGCATGCCTGTTCAGTTTTAACTGTCCTTTTCTATGCTAGGGTATCTAACGATTGTAGTTCAATGTTTCAAAAACTGCTTTAACTGTTAAGTGTTGCTATATGAAACAGAATGATCCTTTATTCTACAGCTGCTAGGAGAGTCTGTTTTCTGTTTCTGATGCAGCTGCAAAGCGCTGACATGTTTTTCTGTACTTTGCCCATGACTTCTAGTAGCCCAAAGTCTAGGAGGCCGAGGTGTGTTGTATAATCCAGATCTCCCATTTAGCAGCATAACCTGGCATTTGTGCTGCTGTGCTGTGCATAGTGAAAAATTACAGAGCTGAAAGAACCAGTGTCAATTTCCCATGGTCAGTGTAAAACATTAGCATGCAATATGCTTTCGTTTCTGCATCCTGAGCTCCTTCCAAATAGTAGCTACATTTTTACACTATATGTTTTACAAATACCTTGCCATTGCATTGACTTTGAAAGCGATCCCTGGTTAATTGTACATAAATGTGCATTAAAAAACCCCCAAAACTATTTACAGCAAGGAAATACGACTTTTCTTACTATTCTTTAAAACTTCTCAATGATTTTTTCTTTATCTTCTAAATGCCATTCTTTCTACAATCTTTTCCATTAATTGGTTTCCTTCATGTTGTGTCTGCTGTTATTATCCTTGTTCAGAAACCCTCCTGCAACATAATATAGAATAGGCTTTCTACTCTGAGCTCCATTACTTTGGGAATAATGGAGAGCAAACTTTTTCCATTCTACCTAGTACTTAAGTTAAGTCAAGTTAGCATCTCTGAATCTGCAAAGAAAATGGCTCTGATCATCTCATCCTGACTCAGGCATAGTAACAATGTCTGGAAAGTGTTTTTTTGTCTCCTGGTATTTAAATTGGTCTTATTAACTGTTCTGAATTTACCTGATGCTAACAGTTACTAGAAGACTAATTGTTTATGGAAAGACTTTTTTTTTCTGGCCATGAAAGCCAACCCAGTTTCTTGAAAGGTCATTCTTTGCCGTGTGCGTGGAAAGAAGTAATAGTTTTCAGTCACTTTTTTGGGGGTCCAACTAATGAAGGGAATGTGCTGTTCTTCAGATACGCTCCATGTCTAGCTAAGGAGGCTTACTAATTGTTGGAACATAAGGGCTTGCAGATGTTCTGTCTGATTGTTTTAGTTTCCAGTGTTGTCATCGTGGTGACATTGGGGGCAGGGGTGAGGCTAGTTTAATGCACATTGAAATCTCCGAGCAGTATGCGTTGGTGTCTTGTGGGCAGAGGTGACATGGGAGAGGTGCACACATACACCCGTGGGATGGGTAGGCAGAGTGAGAGTCCGATGAATCCATCTCTTCATCCTCACATATCCACATCCCACATTGCTTCCTCCTCTGCTCTCTCTCCATCTCTGGCGAGGATCCTTATTACTCTGCCCTAGCCTTCACCTGCACCCTCTCTACTCCCAGGAATGGACTAGTCTCATCCTCACCACCTCCCCTTTCATTTCTGCTACTCCCAGTGGAGTGGCTGGGCCACCTCAAACACACACGCTGCAGATTCTGATCTGTGTCTCATGTCCCTCCATTGCCTTGCACTCACTGAAACCTGGCTCATCCCATCTAGTACAGCCTTTCTCATGGTGGGGTCTCCTCCTCTCTCTCACACGCTGTCCCTCTTGTCACTTCCAATTCTTCCTTCTTCCACCTTCAGTCTTTTCAAACTACACATAATCAGAAAAAAGAACAGGAGTACTTGTGGCACCTTAGAGACTAACAAATTTATTAGAGCATAAGCTTTCGTGGACTACAGCCCACTTCTTCGGATGAATAAGTTTGTTAGTCTCTAAGGTGCCACAATTACTCCTGTTCTTCTTTTTGCGGATACAGACTAACACGGCTGCTACTCTGAAACCTACACATAATCAGTCTCTTTTTCCCCATCCTCTTCCCCTCCAGGTAGTTATCCATCACATTCCTCTTTCTTCTACGATTTAGATGTGTGTGTCAGCCTTGGTTCCTTCAACTTGTAGTTGATGACCCTGTGATGACTTGGGGAATCTGCCTGTACAACTTATGAGTTTTGATTGATATGATGAAGTTATTATGAAATTGCTGTATCATGGGATGCCCCTGTACGTATGTAGATTCCACCCTTGCTGACAAGGCTGTGTCACATCCCTGCCAGGCCAGGGATAATGATTAAGGCTACGTTTTAGTCATGGGTATTTTTAGTAAAAGTCATGGACAGGTTACGGGCCAGGAATTTTTGTTTGCTGCCTGGCCCGTTACCTGTCCATGACTTGTACTTCCTCCAACTTGTTTCGGGGGAGGAGAGAGTGGAAAATTCCCAAACCAGACAGAGACAAAGGTGACAAAGCTGGAGTTTTAAAAGGGTCTCTTGAGGTGGGTGGGGGGAGAGACCCTTCATCTGGTCTTCAGTAAGCACTGCTGTCTCTTTTGCCCTCTTTAAAAAATTTTCTCTCTGATCACTGCCTCATATGCTTCAGTAGTGCTTGATCTCCTGCTGCCTTCCTGTTCATCCATCACCCCTTTGGTCTTAAAGGCTTCTGAACTGAATTGCATCGCTTTGGATTACAGGGTTTTTTTCCAGTGACCCTTTTTAGGCTGCACAGGATCTGTTGAGTATCTTTTGGTTACTTGGGGAAAAAGCTTAAGAAGGAATTTTTTTTTTCTTCGAGGCAGAAGCTAATAAAATGCTAAGCGAAACAGACTATTGGACAGAGGAGATGTGACAGCCTGACTCACTAAGTAGCAAATATTTAGAAATCTTCTACTGCTAGCTTCCATTTCTTTAACACCTTTCGTACAAAAGGATCCCAAAGATTTCGGCGGGCTTAGTAAACTAAGATGCAAACTGTAAAACAGGGATTGTTTCGTCCACTGCTGAAGTGCATCTGTCTCTGGGTTGAGGCCTGCTGTTTGTTTTTAAACGCACAACGGCATTACATAGCAGCTTAGGAAATGATGCAAAGAATGCCACTTCCCATTGAAAGTGCCAGGGAAGTTGGAATTTGATCAGTCCATTGGGTTTACTCTGGCAAAAGTGCCATGTGATCTTTAATGATCAAAAATGACCAGGGTCCTAAATTTTGTGTTGCCAGCAGCAGTGTCCCTTCACGTATTATATTGATAGAACTGAAGGAAAGAGCTCCCCCTGCTGACTTACAACACCACTTCTTGCATCACTGTAGCTTTTGCTTAATCTGTTCGGTTTCTGGTTGATAGTCGCTCCGTAATAATATCTGGCCTGGGAGAGTGTTGAACAGCGATTGGCAGTTCTAGAGGGCCTATGCATTCGGTTTAAATGAGCATAGCATACATTCTGTTCCACTCTCTGATTTTGCCAATGGGGAGCAGAAAGAGTTTGAAGGAAATGATGTTTTTGTAGCATTACGAATCTGAGGCAATGATGACAAGAGCTGAACATTTCATTTTGTGATACTCAAAATTATCTGTCTTGGAACACAGGAAGCTGTAGTTGTGTCTCTGGCTGGCATTCAAAGATGCTGGGAGTTCTTTGGCTCCCTCTGTTGGACAGGAAACTGACAGTGGGGGGTGAAGTCAAGTCATAGTTCCTGGGGTCAGTCTTACGAAGGAACCGGGAGACTTTTGTGTTGCTCCATCGAGAAACTATTTTTTAATTCCTTTGCCACGTGTCTGTGTTTTAACTCTGAACCTTATTACCTATTATCCCTTGGGAATCTCTGCTGCCCCAAATATTGTTACTAAATATACAGCACTCAGGCAGATGAAAGTGTCTCCGTGTTGAACTTGCTTTGGACTTTGGCCCCGTGAACCTGTTTTGTTTTTTTTTAGATCTGAGTTATAGGGTTGTTGGGAATGAATTACATCTTATTAACACTTGATGATATCCAGTATGTATTTGTATTATATAGCTTAACATCTGAAATATTTCAGGCGTGTGAAAGAGTGCCGCATGCTAAGTATCCAGTGTGAGCCCTGTGAGCGTTTTGACATGGGGGGCCAAAAATAACCAATCCATAAGTCATTATCGGATAAAGTTTATGTCTGGACGGCCAAAACCATTCAGCCTGCTTTTCAAAGAGACAGATGGAAACAAGCATATTTTTCATAGCATCTGTAGGATGAATTGACACAGTTTATGTTGAGTAGGTAGTGATCTCTTGTTACGAGTCTAAATGTGCTGGTATTTTCGTCATTTTTTTTAAGGTGCTATTTAGTTGTTTTAGCCACAGATCCTGTTATTTCAAGTCAAATATAACAATTGTATGGTGAAAATATAGACCCATAACATTTTTTGACATCTTTCAGGTGGTGTAAAGTGTGACTTGGGGGTATGTATTCCTAGAAAGTGGTAAAACGTATCAGCCACCCAAATGAATGAATATACTCTCTTAAAAATCTGTTGAGATATACAAACCTAATCAATGTTAATCTGTGTTTGATAGGAGTGCAATGTCTTTTCACACAAAACTTTGCACTTCCTTGATGTCAGTCATCTGAGGAAGATGAGGCACTTACAAACACTGCCTTGTAACAGCCCTGTGGGAAAAGCAAGTATTCTACCGAGAGAGAAACTGATAAAGATTAAATTACATTGTGTGACACTGGGCACGTATCATTGCAGATCTTAGAATAGAATACAGATCTCCTGACTGCATCTTTTTCTGAAATTGTTATGGACTAAGCTTCATCTTTTTTAGATATAATACAGCACTTCATTGCTTGCTAAGGTTTGGACAAAGATCACTAAAGTATATCTGCATATATGCTGCTATCATAATGCTACACTTACTATTTAAAAGGAAATGTCAGCACAGATGTCCGATTTCTTTCATATTTTTCTAACTTCTTTTAATTTGAGACCATAATTGCTAATATACATTAATTATAATTGTATTCATGGTATCATTACAGGGTGAAGTTAAGGTTGTTACGGCATTCAAACATTGCATTTCCAGACCCTAATAT